ATGGTGGGTACAACACTTTATATCACCAAACCTGTGTGTTTTGTTTGGTTGGGTTTTTTTAAGAATATAATTCCTCAACTCATGTTTAATTCAAATGCTGAAGGACTTCTTAAATATGTCCTATTAATTATTATTAATATTATATTAATATTATTAATATTATTAAATATTAAATAAAATAAAGAATATTTTATTCTTTACCAAAATATGGATTATAATTTTGGTAAAGAATAAAACATTTTAAGAAGGAAGACTGGTTTATCCATGAGATTTAGAACAACTCATTCCATTTATATAACCTCTACCATCTGGAAAGGTACTATAGGAACTGTGCTTATAGGAATCAGTTCACCTACCACAAAATTGCAGTCACCCATGGGTTAAACTCAGGAGCCCACCTGTCGTGCAAACCAGTTTTTAGGAACAGGAAATTAACATCAGTATTAACAATGAGGAGTCCTTGTGGCACCTTAGAGACTAACGTATTTATTTGGGCACAAGCTTTCATGGGCTAGAACCCACTTCATCAGATGCATGGAGTGGAAAATACAGTAGCAGGTATGAATACACAGCACATGAAAAGTTGGGAGTTGCCTTACCAAGTGGGAGGTCAGTCTAACGAGACAATTCAATTAACAGTAGGATACCAAGGGAGGAAAAATCACTTTTGTAGTGGTAATAAGAATGCCCCATTTCAAACAGTTGACAAGAAGGTGTGAGTAACAGTAGGGGGAAATTAGTATGGGAAATTAGGTTTTGTAATGACCCAACCACTCCCAGTCTTTATTCAGGCCTAATTTGATGGTGTCTAGTTTGCAAATTAATTTCAGTTCTGCAGTTTGACATTGGAGTCTGTTTTTGAATTTTTGTTGTTGAAGAATTGTCACTTTTAGATCTGTTATTGAGTGACCAGGGAGATTGAAGTGTTCTCCTACTGGTTTTTGAACGTTATAATTCCTGATGTCAGATTTGTATCCATTTATTCTTTTGCATAGAGACTGTCCAGTTTGGCCAATGTACATGGCAGAGCGGCATTGCTGGCATATCATGGCATATATCACATTGCTAGATATGCAGGTGAACGAGCTCCTGATGGTGTGGCTGATGAGGTTAGGTCCTATGATGGTGTCCCTTGAATAGATATGTGGACAGAGTTGGCACCGGGGTTTGTTGCAGGGTTTAGTTCCTGGGTTGGTGTTTTTGTTGTGTGGTGTGTAGTTGCTGGTGAGTATTTGCTTCAGGTTTGGGGGGTTGTCTGTAAGCAAGGACTGGCCTGTCTCCCAAGATCTGTGAGAGTGATGGGTCGTCCTTCAGGATAGGTTGTAGATCCTTGATGATGCACTGGAGAGGTTTTAGTTGTGGGCTGTAGGTGACGGCTAGCAGCGTTCTGTTACTTTCTTTGTTGGGCCTACCACCACAACACAACAAAAACACCAACCCATGTAATCTAGCCTTGCCCCAGCCCAAGACTATCAATGGAAAGCCATCAGAGACAACTGCAAACAACCAAAACCACTTGGAGGTGAAAAAAGGAATATTACAACAGAGACTCACACTATTTATGAATAAAGACAAAAGATTATTCAGTATAACAAACCAAGGGGGGAGAAAGCACTATGGATCCATTCACTGAGGAGACATCTTGAGGGGCAAGGGAGTTCTCATGAAAAATTGGATCCTGGTTCCTGTGAAACCAGCCAGATTGAACTTTATGGGGGCGGGGAACCTATTTTAGTAGATAGGAAAGGTAACTGTCAATAAGTGTAGACTCAGGTTTGTGTTCTATGATTTTGTTTTGTATTGTAACCATTGGTTTCTGTCATTTTCTCTTGTTTCTAATAAAATGTCTATCCTTTCTTAAAAGAAAAAGAGGATTGTTTATTACAAGTGCTGTGTGTTATGTAGGAATGGGGGTTTAAGGTCAAACTAGTAAACTGGGGTAGAGTGGTTCCTTGGAGGCAGAGGAACTTGGAATTCTGTGAGTAGCCAGTGCCAGGTGTTGGATATCACTGAGGAACGCTTCAAAGGGACTCAGGGACTGGGGTGTACCTGTTGTTAACCTACAAGGCAGATAGGGTTGGCACAGCCCAGGAAGAGTGCATGAGTGGCTGAAAGGCTGGTGGTGGTAGGGAGCTGATACCTAGCAAGTCACAGGCAAGACTTCCTCATTCTGGAGGCAGAGGGTAACAAGTTGACTCAGAGTCTTGGGTACCCTGAGAACCGTCACACTCAGAACTTTAGCAGTGTCCCAAGATTTATTTAAAATGATACAGTGATCTTCTCAGCCAGTTCCTTTATTACTTTTGGGTGCACATTATCAAGTCCTGCTAATTTAAAAATGTTTAACTTTAATAGCAGCTGTTTAACATCATCCCTAGATACTGATGTCATAAAAAGTATTTCCTTACCAGTGTAAGATATGAATACATCAATCTGCTTCTTTACGAATACAGAACAGAAATATTTATTGAATGTGCTGACTTTTCTGCATAATGATTGATAGTTTTACCATCCTTATCTATCAGAGCTATCACCTTGTTAGAATTTTGTTTGCTCCTGATATATTTGAAGAATTCCTTTTTATTGTCCTTAACCCTACTGGCCATAGATTTGTAAAGGATACCTTCAGCTTTCTTTATCAACGGTATGCATTTTCTATAGGTTGATTTGTGTTAATTGCTATCAGCTTCTCTATTTTTCCAAATTTTATGGTCACTTCCTCTCCATTACGATGTTGTTGTTGGTTTGTTTTATTCTAAAAAGCCTTCCTGTGTGACTGTGGAACTGTGTATTTTTAGCACCTAATCAGATATTCAAAATGGAGACTTTTGCCTTTTAGAAAGTGGCTCCCCTCCCGTAATGGCAACCTGTATACTATCGTGGCATAAACTAATCCAGAATCTATGGCAGGAGAAGCCAAGTGGTGCCACTTACCAGGAACTTGTCAGTGACACCTAATTCTACAGAAAATGGAGCAAACCGCAACTCCCTTTGTTTTCAACCAGACACTATGGTTCCCAACATGAACTATTCCATACTGAGATGTGTGGTCTGGCTGGGGTTGTGGTTACCAGTGAATTGCACAAGATGACTGCAAATGAGAGTGGGTCATGAGCCAACTGGCAACGTTGTGGGCTACATTTTGAACAGTAATATTCCAGACAGATACAACATCACTATTAAACAACCCATAGAAGACTGAATAAATCTTGGTTAAAATATCACTGTACCTCCTGTGCCTTCCAATGGTAAGCCCTCTGAGGCAGGGACCATCTCTGTGTCATCTCATTGAGTTGTCTCTTTCAGGGACAGCGCTTCCCCCCACCGATCAACCGGATAAATTACACGTGGCAATGCCAGCGCAGTGGACATAAGTTTCACTGGCCGTGGTAAGGGAGGTAACTGCATTTTCTAGGTGGTGCATCACTGCTGTTGTCATAAATATAAAGGGAAGGGTAAACCCCTTTAAAATCCCTCCTGGCCAGAGGAAAAATCCTCTCACCTGTAAAGGGTTAAGAAGCTAAAGGTAACCTCGCTGGCACCTGACCAAAATGACCAATGAGGAGATAAGATACTTTCAAAAGCTGGGAGGAGGGAGAGAAACAAAGGGTCTGTGTCTGTCGGTACGCTGCTTTGCCGGGGATAGACCAGGAATGGAGTCTTAGAACTTTTAGTAAGTAATCTAGCTAGGTATGCGTTAGATTATGATTTCTTTAAATGGCTGAGAAAAGAATTGTGCTGAATAGAATGACTATTTCTGTCTGTGTGTCTTTTTCGTAACTTAAGGTTTTGCCTAGAGGGATTCTCTATGTTTTGAATCTAATTACCCTGTAAGGTACCTACCATCCTGATTTTACAGGGGTGATTCCTTTACTCCTATTTACTTCTATTTCTATTAAAAGTCTTCTTGTAAGAAAACTGAATGCTTTTTCATTGTTCTCAGATCCAAGGGTTTGGGTCTGTGGTCACCTATGCAAATTGGTGAGGATTTTTACCAAACCTTTCCCAGGAAGTGGGGTGCAAGGGTTGGGAGGATTTTGGGGGGGAAAGACATGTCCAAACTACGTTTCCCAGTAAACCCAGTTAGAGTTTGGTGGTGGCAGTGGTTATTCCAAGGACAAAGGATAAAATTAATTTGTACCTTGGGGAAGTTTTAACCTAAGCTGGTAAAAGTAAGCTTAGGAGGTTTTCATGCAGGTCCCCACATCTATACCCTAGAGTTCAGAGTGGGGGAGGAAGCTTGACAGCTGTATACAGTTTTCTTTTCTTTGAACAACAAGATACTTGACCATCTCCAGCAATAGTCTGAACAGTAGACTCTGGGTGAACTCCTGGCCCCACTGAGGTCAATGACAAAGCTCCCATTGGCTTCAGTGAAGCCAGTATTTCACCACCTGGACGTAGGAGGAACTAGAGAGAAGTAGTCAGAAATGCTGAGCCGGGGAAGGGGACAATTATTATTGTAAAGATATTTCAAAGGAGAACTGACAAATTCAATGAACACGTTCTCCAATATCAGTAAATCTAGAATGTGAACTGATAAGAAAAATGGAATCTACTTTTATGCAACTGTCCCTACTAATAAAGAAAATACAGAAAACATGGCATCTGAGCAGAATTGTTTTTAAGGCATTATTTAAACCATAACTAAAACTGGTACAAGTGTAAGCTACAGAATCATCATAATGATTTACTTGTTTTGCCAAGTATAATTATTATTCTGTGCCTGAATTTAGAATAAAGACAAATGCAAAGGACAAGAAAGGAATGCAGACCAAAATAACAATGTTTTAAAGAAGCTTATGGATCCATGGGATTGTTTGTTTAACCATTGGGTGTGCAGAATATACCGCATCATGTTCATGAAGTGTCTTAGTTACCTGCTGACTTGAGAGTTGACAATGGCTTGCTCGGGAAGAAATAGTAATCATAATGGCAAAAGACCTTGCTTTACCTCCAGGACTTAATGGCAGGTAACTACAATAAAACACTCCACATACCTGTCAATTGGTGACTCTCCTCCATGTGCAAAGAGATTGAAACTACTTAGTGATGATCCTTCTCCCACAGAAATTCAGGCTCTGTACCTGCAACAGGAATAGGTATTACCTGAGCTTTGGTTGGCTCTTCAGTTATTAGCTGAACACGAAACATTTAAAACATTCTTCATAACATTTTTTTTCATTTTTAAACTAAGAAATCAATAATTCTGATTTTTGTGGATCTGAGTAATATATTTAGTGCTATCTCCCTAGTTACCTATATGGCTCCCATCACTGCAATAGAACAAACATGAATAAATTTCTCCTCACAACACCCCTCTGATGTAGGGAAGTGAGATGATCCCTTTGTACAGAGAGGGAACTGAGGCACAAAGAGAAACTATTGGCCCACGGTCACATGTGGAGTCTCTGACAGAGCTGAGAATTGAACCTACTAGATCTTCTCAATTCCAATCCAGTGCCTTAATCACAAAACAACCCCTTCTCTCTCTTTCATAGATTCACAGATTTTAAGGCCAGAAGGGAGGACTGTGACCATCTGTTCTGATCTCCTATATAACACAGCCCATAGAACTTCCCTAAAATAATTCCTGCTGGAACTAGAGTAAATCTTTCATAAAAAAAATTGAATCTTTATTAAGAAAAAAGGCTAGTAATAGCGAACCCACTACAGCCTTTGGTAAATTTTTCCAAGGATTAATTGTCCTCACTGACACAAAAGTTGCTGTATGGAGAGTGAAGTCCTGTGTTATTCATAGGAGAGGTAGGCCACAAGAAGCACCAGTGCAAACTTCCCATATACACATCTCCATTAGTGTACCTCATCCCTGCCCCAGGGATCAAAAGGATATTCAGCCTCCATGCCCATTCCATCTTTGGTCCTGCTGAAACTGCCATCAAAGATGCAAAACAATGCCAACTATAGTGGGCTTTTATTCTGGATGGACAACTCTGGACTAGAAACTGGACTCAGATAATTAACTTCTTCCATTTAGACAGTCATCAGAAGGTAGCAACTAAACAGTTGGTTGATGACCAAGGTAGATGACCAAACAATCAGCAGAAGGTAACTACAGCTGGATACCCATAACATGAGATGGATTACAACCAGGTTCTTGTGGCTCCTTTTCTGGTAGCATAAAGAAGCAGAAAGCCAGTGGATTTGGCCAGCTGGAGGTGTTTTGGGGGAAAAGGGTATGGCCAGATCATTGTTGCACTCTGACTATTGTCAGCTGCTGAACTGCCTGTTGCAGGCTGTTGCAACCAAGTGTAATTTAGAGCTGCCGTGGGGCTACTCTAAATTGTATCAGGTGCTGAACTGGCCTATGGTCACCCTGTTGATTGGAAAAGAACAAACATGGCTCAAAGCTATCCCCCCATTTCTCAGCTACAACTAGCAAAACTCTGGCACAGTTAATGAACTAGCTTTTAGATTTTCTCAGTGGTTGTCCACTGCTTGCAATGGACAAAAATGGGCCTGGTTCTGCACTCATACCCTTTTTACGCAGGTAAAATTTCATTGACACAACTATTTTAAGTGCTTATATGGCCCCATTACCATAACAGCCAATCATCTTACAATGTCCTTGTGAGATAGAGAAGTGTCATTATTCCCATTTTACAGAAGGGGGAATTGAGGCACAGAAAGACTAATGTCTTGCTCAGGGTCACACAGAGAGTCTATGGAAGAGCAGGAAATTGACCCTCGGTCTCCTAAGTCCTAGGTGATTTTCCTAACCACTGGACCATCATTCCTCTCTATTCATGCTGGTGTCAGTGATAGGAGAATCAGGACTGATTTACGCAGGGCCCAACCCCTCTGAAATCAATGGGATTATGAAGGATGTGTAATTTAGTGCAAAACTTAGACCCCTTAGACCCTGTTTCCCCATTGTTACTCCACTGAAATCAATGGATTTCCACTGCTGTCAAACTGGAATAACACAGTCAAGGCTTGGTTCCTAGGTATGGTGTCAGCTTCATCCAACATGCCATAACAACTCATTCCTGAATGGTTTCATACTGTATATCCTAGAGCAGTTGTTCTCAACCAGGGGTATGTATACCCTTGGGGATACACAGAGCTTTTCCAGGGGGTACATAGACTCACATTGACTAGATATTTGCCTAATTTTACAACAGGCTACATAAAAAAGAACTAAGCCAGTACAAAATAAAATTTCATACAGTGACTTGTTTATATTGCTCTACATACTATACACTGAAATGTAAGTACAATATTTATATTCCAATTGATTTATTTTATAACAATAAGGTAAAAATGAGAAAGTCAGCCATTTTTCAGTAACAGGGTGCTGTGACACTTTTGTATTTTTATGTCTGATTTTGTAAGCAAGTAGTTTTTAAGTAAGGTGAAACTTGGGGTACGCAAGACAAATCAGCCTCCTGAAATGGGCACAGTAGTCTGGAGAGGTTGAGAGCCACTGTGCTAGAGCCTAGAGCCAGCCATAGCCAGGAGGTCAGCATTAATCATTTCCTCACAGACAACATAATGAAGTGATACCTCTGACATTAGTCACACGACTGACAGAAACCACCTATGTGAAGAAGTCTCCCCAGTATTAGACAGGCAGGTATAGAATTGTCAAACATCGCATCTCGCTCATCATGACCTTGCACCTACATTCGTCGTTTACACCTGAGCAAAGTGAATGTAACATTCAATCAATTCAGATTTCTCCAGTCACATAGGCGGTAGTATTTTACCCCAGTATAACTGACTGCACAAGGTGAATGGCAGGGGAGAATCAGACTTTAAGAGCTAATGCCATCTTTCTCTATTACCTATAAGACAATTTGAAGAAAGGAACAAAACAATTCATTTTTAATAATTTAAGAACCATTCTAAACTGCCCTGCAGTGGTTTAACTTCCCCCTCCTCAACTCCCTGTGTTTCAGCCGTATGCTAAAAACTCCAGCTTCGTTGATGCCTTTCTTAATTGCCTTTTCCATTACTAAAGAGTCTCTTTATAAACATTACTGTACAGTGCTGGGACTCAAAATCTCAAGCCCCATGCTGGGTTATTCCACTACCTGTTTATTATATATGATTAGAGAATGCAACAGTGACTTTGAAGTGCTATAAAGCCTTGACAACACAAATATATTACCTCTCTCCTCAATTTCTGAGCACATACAGAATCGATGCTGTAATTTTCTTCATCAACTTAGACCTTCTTTGTTTCTCTCTCTACAGCAGTAATTATGATTTTCCCAAAGAACTAAGAAACACTGGTTTTATTGTCAAGATTTACATTGTTTTCCCGTACAGAAAAATTGTGGAAAAAGAATAGTAACAACAGGTAAACAACAGTACAAATATATTCTCTTCTATGTACATGACTGTACTGTATTTTGTAAAAAACAATTAATCAGTCCAGCATGTCAGAAAAAACACAACCACATATAAAAAATAGTGAATTATGCAGGAATGCTCAGGATAATTTAGGATTCAGCACAAAGTTCTAGTGAACTCTGAGATCATTTACTAGTATCTATTTTACAGGACTCCAAAATGTGATGGGAACTTTTAAAACATACAGAACAAAACATAGGATCCATGTCCTGAAATTTTTAGTCTAAAGACCTGATTCTCATGTACAGTAGGGCCTCTTTACACCAATCTGGCATTAAACAGCTCATAGAAATAACACATGTAAAATAGAAGTCTCCCCAGTATTAGACAGGCAGATATAGAATTGTCAAACATTGCATCAGGGCCTTGCACCGTGATTAGTCATTTAATGGTGGCATCATAGTGGGGCTTTAAGGTGGATATAAATGTAATTTATGTCACCTTAAGGCCACTTTATGCTGCCAGGATGATGTAAAGAGAGCTTAGTGTAAATGAGAATCAGGCCCTAAGGCCTCCATCCTGCAATCGGATCTGCATGGATAGAACCCTGTGCTAGCAGAGGACCCAAACAGCTGCAATGGGGCTCCACATGGGGATAAGGGTGCACCTACATGGGTCAGATTACATGATCGGAGCCTAAATAAAGACATAACAAATGCATACAAAAGAAACAGGGAGGGGCAAGAAGGACAAGGTTCAGATAACAAGACCAGATGAGTGTTTAGAGAGTAATGCATGGCAAGTTATCAGACGCTGAAGAAACAGATGAGAAATCCAAGTGGTGACATTCCTAAAGAAGGCCAGTGTACAACCTTCTATGGAGTCCAGGCAGAATCTGTGTCCACATGCCTACCAGTATATTGACACCATTCCATTCGTGCTAGAAGAGGTACCAACATGAAAACAGTAGTCTCCGTCTTCTCAGGCTGTGACCATTTTGCCCTGCAGTTGATAACAAATTGTGTCTGATAGTCATTGTTCAGATGTTGGAGATTCTCTTTCCAGACTCCAGTGCTGCATTTGTCAGCACATTGTCTTAGAGCTGCAATGGTAGAAACAAACAAGGCCCCAAAGACCCTTAAAAGGAGGTAGAGTTACACTCCCAGGCCTGGGGGCTCTTTAAAACTGGAGGGTTTTATTTAAACTATTGTCAAGAGTCCGGCAAATACACACAGAGTTTGCACAAGCCACACTTCTGGAGGATCACCAAAATCTTCTGACCCTACCTGGTCACCAAGAGCTATGTCCCTTTAGCCACTTCAGCACAGTTCTCTACCTTAAAGGGACAGTGCACAGTAAAATATAGTCCTAGAATTCCACCCACTCACACAAAAAAGTTAATTTATATGAAAATACACTGACTATTCTAATTCATGAGTGTTACACTGTGACAACATTTTCCTACAAAATATCATTTACCGCACGGACAATATTGTCCCCAAATTTATGAAGTAGAGGATGACTCTAGGTGGTATGTTACATACTGTCCATGAAGAGTGATTCATTCCTAGACTCATAGACTTTAAGGCCTGAAGGGACCATCAAGATAATCTAGTCTGACCTCCTGCACATGACACGCCGCTAAATTTCACCCACCCACTTCTGTCATAGGCACATAACCTCTGGCTGAGTTACTGAAGCCCTCACCTCCTGATTTAAAGATTTCAAATTTCAGAGAGTCCACCATTTACTCCAATTCAAAACAGCA